TGGGGGGAGTGGGGTGGGGGGCACTGGTTGGTGGGCCTGACTGATAGAGCTTCATCAGAGTCAAACAACAAAAGAAATCTGAAGCTCCTATATTGAACAGTTTCTAAGTATTTTTGCATGTCCAGACACCCCATTTTCAGATAATTGGGGGWCCRGGTGGGGGCACTGATTGGTGGGCCTGATGGATGGTGCTTCGTCAGAGCTAAACAACAAAAAATAATCTGAAGCTCCTATGTTTAATATTTTTTGAGCAATAACCCTTTTTGTTTGTCCAGATACCCCTTTTTCAGATAAATTGGGGGTCGCGGGGTGGGGGGGCACTGATTGGTGGGCCTGATGGATAGAGCTTCATCAGAGCTAAACAACAAAAGAAATCTGAAGCTTCTATGTTGAACAGTTTCTGAGTTATAAGCATTTTTGCATGTCCAGACACCCCCTCTTTGGATGGAGCCCCCTCCTCAAATATGTGGTCTATCGTAAAACTGTTGGCTGGCGCAGTGTAGGTCGGACTAATCCACAGTCCTGCCAAATTTCATATTGACTGGTGCAGCAATTTTGTGCTACGGTTGACYGAAAATCTCCGRAGGAAAAAAAAACAAATAAACAGTTCAAAAACAATGTGACTCCCACTTACGCTTTGCGTGCGGGGGTCATAATGAATGGAAGTCAATACAATGTCCTCAGTTTGATGCAAATACAAGGAAGTGTGTGTGGGGGTGGGGGACAAACTCTCCTTAAGACAACATTAATATTACCTTTTATACAGTAATTATTAAATCAATGATTTTTAATAAATCACAGCCGTACCAGAAGCACTTCACTTGAACTCAGATTTTCCAGAATGCTAACATGTTGGAATGAAAAGTATTTGAGGGTGAAGTACTGACAGTAAGATTTTGTCTTTGTTTTTTAAGCAAAGGCTGCCAAGAAAACAACATAAAAGAAGGTAGCTGGAAAAACCAGAGTTACTGTATGTCAGCCTATCATCACAATGACTTGGCAGTGTGAAAATAGTTGGATAAAGGAGTGGAATGGATAATGTGACGATACACACCACTTCTCCTCCAGTGAGTCAAAGCACATAATTTACCTGCATGCTCAGTTAAAAACTTGTGTTTCAGTTTTATTTTATTTAACACCAATGACCTTCAGGCCACAGTTCCTGGAAGTAGGGCTGCGACTAACGATTATTTTAATAATCGATTAATC